TCACAAAAAGGATTGTGCGTTTAAGGTCGCCACCGGTCCACCATAGCTTCTCTTGCAATGTGGCTCCCTTGGGCCAGATCCAGTCTTTGCTGGGAGGGGTTAGGGCAGTACTGTAGTATGTGCTCAGGGGTCTGTCTTTCTGCTCCACAATCACAGGCAGCAGATTCTTTTATGCCTATCCTGTACAGGTGTACTTGAAGACCACAGTGTCCTGTCCGAAGTCTAAAAATTGATGTTTGTTCTTTCCTGTTGAGTTTGTTTATGCTATCACTCTCTGGTCTGTAATCTCCGTTCTGCCTTCTCCACTCCCGCTTGAAAGACTGCTTTAGCGCTGTTTTGGTTTCCTTGTAGCTGTGTGGTGGACGAGGTTGTGGAAGATTACTCCCAGCTTTTGCCAACTCATCTGCTCTCTCATTTCCTTGAATACCACAGTAGGCTGGTAACCTCTGCAAGACCAGTTCTGCTTCCTTGGAGAGTAAGCAAATGTTGGTCCTTAGATCTGCAATTAGTTTGTCTGGTTTTTTTGCACTGCGATGTCAAAAAAATAGGGGCAGACTGACCACAGTTAAGTGGGTATTAAATGTTACTAAAAAAAGACCAAACAGTGCTGTATTTCAGAAAAAAAACAGTGCTGTACTTTCAGAAAAAACGGCTCCCAGATCATCGGGTACCATGTAAAAGTAGTTAACGTGACGCTGACCACCTAATTGGTCTACCACAGACATATACATGTATATATTTATTAACCCATCGTTCAAAGGAAAATCCATCCCGATATAAACACAGCGACGCGCGCCGCGGATCGGAAGGCCGTGGGTTCGCTCCCTGGCGGAGCCTGACTTTTCTTAAAAAAATGACCTTGGCTCCCAGGTCGACCCAGCCTTGAGTGGGTCCCGGGAGGTAGAAGCGGCCAGCGTGATACTGACCACATCACTCATCTTGTGCCGTTGGTCTATAGAAATATAGGTCTAGCCCTATATGCCCCTAAAGGCGTGGAAAACGGTCCTATACTTTTTTTTAATTTACTTTTTTAAAGAATTGTTCGTGGCCCATTTTTAGCATTCGTGAGGCGAAAGGGTTAATGTCACTACATGTTTCCATGTTCTAAAGTCATTCCATATATTAAGTTTGTCTTGGGAGAAACAAGCCCAGCATAGATTTGCGAAAGACTGAGCCTGACTTTGAAAGACTATCAAATTTCAAAGTACAATACTCTGCTTTCTGGCAGTCTTTTACATAAAGTTGGTTTATAGGGGGAAACAAACACAGCATAGATTTGCAAAAGATTGAGCCCTAGTTTGGCAGGAAAATTCTCTTTGCTTTCTGGCAGTCTTCTACGTGTGATGTCTCTTGGTTTCTCAAACAAGTTTCATGTGAAATCTGACTGTATTCAGTTACACCTTATTTGACATAATGGTTCACAGTTCATAACATATTATCTTTGATATAAAGTGTACATCATGATATAAAGCTTGTATAATTTGACATAATATGTGTATCATTTATTGAAAGTACAGCTGTATCATTTGTATAATTTTTGACATACAACTTGCAATAGTCATAACACTTCATGTTTGGGAGAAAAAAAAAAGCACATATTTATATCTTGTTTTGACACAAAAATTAAACATATATATGTGTCACATATATTTTATAACATTTGTATATCAAGTAATGTTTAATATAATGATTCAATGTTCATATCGTTTATATCTAACTCAAAGTCAAACACTCGTATTGTCTCTGACATAAAATCAGTAACGTTTGTATCATATTTTGACACAAAGGTTGTAACAATGAAGTTCTACATTTATTTTGTAACATTCATATATCATACAACATTAGGCATGCCAATTCTAACATTCAAATTGTATTATATTTGAAACGAAAGCTGTAACATTAAGACAATATAATTATTAACACAGAGAAAAAAACATCCCAACCATATGTAAAATAAAGATTTAACACTAAGAACATTTAAATATATATATATTGTAAAATCTATAACAACCAAACTGCATTACTTATAAAACATAGATTGTAACATTTACATTACCAAAGTTTAGGTTAAAAAAATAACAAATGCAAAATTTAAACATCATATGAACCATAAAGAAGGTTTTAAAATGAAGACAATTTCATATGTTGTAACAAAGATGGCAACAAGCAAACTGTACGATAGGTATTGTTACGGCTGTAACATTAATACCATATTATTAGACTAGCCATAAGATCAGATCAAAGTTAACTGCAACATTTGGACCATTTCACTAACATCTGGACCAGTGGTCTTAAAACCTGGGAGGCGAAAAAGAGGTGATGGGAGGGGTTCATGTGAACTAACATTTCTCCCAGTTTAATTAACATTTCTCCTAGTTTAACTAAAACTTGTCCCAGTTTAACTAACATTTGTCCAAGTTTAACTAACATTTGTCCCAGTTTAATTAACATTTCTCCTAGTTTAACTAACACTTGTCCCAGTTTAACTAACATTTGTCCGAATTTAACTAACATTTGTCCCAGTTTAATTAACATTTGTCCCAGTTTAACTACCATTTGTCCCAGTTTAGTTTAACTAACATTTGTCCCAGTTTAATTATATTAAAAAAAAATTTTGTTTTGTTTTCGACGGTTTATTAAAACAGCAGAGAACCAAAGGCCTTTATTATTTTTTCATAAGTAGTTTGTACATCTGCTGTTAAAATCTGCATTTAAATATCTTTCTGATAACATTATTGCTATGTTGGGAGGGAGGGAAAGGGGGGGGGGGGGGGGGGGGATTAGAGACCACTGATCTAATAATGGTAATATACAGACCATATCATTATTAACATTCAGACTGTAACATTCAAACCATTATGATCAACACTGTATCATTCAAACCATTATCATAAATAACATAGACTTCAACATTTAGACTATCACATTTAATATCTAGACATACATTCAGACCAAGTCAATAACACAGACTATAATATCTAGAGCATATATTTAACATTAGGACCAATGTTTCCTAAAGCAGAGCCTGCTGCTGTCCCATGGGGTAAGGAACCACTGACTGGTAACAAAACCATGTCATAACTAACATCAGTCAACATCTTAGACTATAACTGCATTGATCATGGGGAGAGTGGGTGGAATATCCAAGGGCGAGGTAGGAGCTCCAGCTGCTAAAGGCCAGAAAAGTCTTTTCGATAGACTGAATGAGTCACACCATTCTTGTTTGATAAAACGGGCCTAGCATGGAGCACCTGCAACTCAGGACGAGAGTCCTTCTCATTTCGCTCCATTGGTGTGACTAAGTTGTGCAAATTTGTCATCTTTCTGTTTGTTCCTTAACTGGCAGTATAAAGGTAAAGTCGGGAGATCTGAACCAGCGTCATTGCACACGGTTATAAACCATAAGTGCTCTGCCACCAGTACGGACACCTGACAAGAAACTGTCCACCTGTGTCGCCGTCACTCTGGTACCCATTCCCTAGAGGCTGGGTGAACCCCCAGGAACAGCCCGGTTTCGAACACCGACCGCGGCTGCAGCGAGTCGCAGCTGGATTTGAAAGTGAGCCTCCTGACGACTGAGCTAACGCGGCCCCAACTGGCAGTATATTTTTAGCCAAGGAAACACTCAATAATTTGTTGACAAAACTGAGGGAAGGGGAAGACAGATAAATATCATGACTTCACCACATGCATGAGGGTGGGACAAGAGCACAGACTTGATCCATGATTCTGATAATGTGCAATGGTGAATCGTCACAACCTATGCTTATAGGCTGATTATGATATTTTTTTTAAAGGAGAGAGGGCACTGAATACACTGAATGAATTTGTTATTGAAAATGGTGCGACAATCCCCCCCACCCCCCAAGAAATGTGAGAACCAAATTATTAATATTTAGAATGTACATCCAGACGCATGTAACTCTGTAGCTACAGCGATGTTCCTCCATTTAACCTAGAGTGTCACTCTGGTACCCATTTCCTAGAGGCTGGGTGAACCCCCGGGGAACTGCCCGGTTTCGAACACCAACTGCAGCTGCAGCGAGTCGCAGCTGGATTTGAAAGTGAGCCTCCTATCGACTGAGCTAACGCGGCCCCAACTGGCAGTATATTTTCTAGCCAAGGAAACACTCAAGAATATGTTGACAAAACTGAGGGAAGGGGAAGACCGCACGTAAGTCTGTAGCTATAGCCATGTTCCTCCATTTACCCCAGAGTGTCACTCTGGTACCCATTTCCTAGAGGCTGGGTGAACCCCCGGGAACTGCCTGGTTTTAAACACCGACCGCGGCTGCAGCGAGTCGCAGCTGGATTTGAAAGTGAGCCTCCTATCGACTGAGCTAACGCGGCCCCAACTGGCAGTATATTTTTAGCCAAGGAAACACTCAAGAATATGTTGACAAAACTGAGGGAAGGGGAAGACAGATAAATATCATGACTTCACCACATGCATGAGGGTGGGACAAGAGCACAGACTTGATCCATGATTCTGATAATGTGCAATGGTGAATCGTCACAACCTATGCTTATCGGCTTATTATGATTACGATATTTTTTTTTAGGAGAGAGGGCACTGAATGAATTTGTTATTGAAAATGGTGTGACACTCCCCCCCTCCCAAGAAATGTGAGAACCTATGATCCAGACCAAATTATTAATATTTAGAATGTTCGTCCAGACCATATTAAAGTGACATTCAAACCACGCACTTAACATACACACTGTAACATTCAGACCACAGAATAATTGACATACAGACTTTAACATTCAAAACATGCAGATAACATACACACTGTAACATTCAGACCACAGAATAATTGACATACAGATTTTAACATTCAAACCATGCAGATACATACACACTGTAACATTCAGACCACAGAGTAATTGACATACAGACTTTAACATTCAAACCACGCAGATAACATACACACTGTAACATTCAGACCACAGAATAATTGACATACAGACTGAAACATTCAGACCATATCATATTCAACACAATCTGTCTGATAAATGGCTGCCCGATAGCTATATCTATCAGACAGGCTCCGCTGTACAGTCCTAGCTGAGGGAGCCAGCTGACCCACATTCACCACAACTGTTGTCTGATGAGGTACACCCATCGTGGGGACTGCCCCCATCTCCTCATACTCCCCAATGGTGGTTTCCACAAGGGATGGCTCCAGTACTGGAAGCGACATCAGTTTGCTTTGAAGAAGATAGAAGTAGGTCTTGAATCTCTTGATCTGCAACGCAAAAGAACAGTTATTTAGCAAAGGTGTGACGAAGTGTCTCTTTATATAACGAGATCAGAAACGATGAAATCTGAACTCAAATAGCGAAGCAGCAGCTATGAATTGTATTAGAAAACAAATGAAATAGTTTGATCATTTAACACGGGTGCCAACAAACACTATACCATAACAGGCAGTTGTGTAAAGACCAGGCGAAACAGAGAACAAACCCTGTAGATTATGGGCAGAAGGAATGAGTCCCTGGGACTGAGGAAGCAGACAAATGGGCACTTTCCTGTAAATTATACTTCACTTTGACACACGCAAGGTATAAGAGGATTGAAACGAGATGAGGCAAAGTGGAAGTTTTGAGGGAGGCTAAAGCCCAAACACACAAGTTCGCTTAAATACAGATCCCCATGTAGGTTGTGGGGCTCCACAGTGGGGTGGAGAATGGGGGAATAAGAACAGACACACTGCGCCTTAACACTTCTGCCTTAAGAAGGGTTGCGATACAGTCCCACCATTCAGATATTTCGTCTTTTCTGATGTGGCCTGTTCTCGGAAAGCATAATTAAATGCCACTGGTTCTATGCGTAGTGTTTAGGAGGCCCAGATGTGAATATATTTACTAAATATAGCATTCACAGGGTTTCCTTGTGGACCAAATGGCTTTTTAAAAACCAGGTTGACTTCAGATATTCATGTAAGCCTTAGTGATAGAGGTCACGGGGTCCCAGCGAATACATTCCATACTTCACCCTGTTCTTGTTTACTGATTTAACCCCTTCACAAATCTTTTTATATTTGGAAACACAAATCTGTCACCAGCTGTAAACTCTACGGAAGGTTCTGGTTGTTCGTTCACTTCTGGACTTTACTCTTGTTCCAGAACTTGAGCTGTTCATTTACATATCTGGCTGATTTGTACGCAGATCACTGGCTGCTTGCGTCTCAGGCAGATACTGGCTGCAGAGGAAACCCCTAATTAGTCAACTCTTCTGCCACGATTATTAGGTAGGCAGTGGGTCTATTCTTGTTTTCCCAACAATAGGGTCCTGGAACCCCCACAGGAAAATTGATATATGTGATCAACGAAAAGATTTAACGGAAGAAAAATTTGTATTTCCTTTCTCTGTACCACACAGCAAAGCATGTGTGTGCGCACAATTTTGAGTTTAACAGCTTTTCATGAAATAGTTTTAAAACTGGTGGCAAAGTTCTGACCACACAAATATAAGAGGTCTTAAAAACTGTTAAACAAATCTGAGTCACAAAGAAAATGTCAAGAAACAACAAAAGTACCTTAAATTCTATATATTTCTCCTAAAAAAAAAAAAAAGACTACCTCAAATTCTATATAAAAAATTGCAAAAAAAACAAGTCCTAAAATTCTTTATAATTCTTCTAAAGAAGAAAGCTCAAATTCTAGATAATTCTCAAAAAGAAATAAAAACTACATGAAATTATAAATAATTCTCCTAAAAAAAAAAATTTACCTAACATTCTAGACAATATCCTTAAAAAAAAAAACAAAAAAACTCCATTTCGAGATAATCCTTTTAAAGAAACAAAAACTGCCTTAAATTTTTGATAACTCTCCTGAAGAAACAAAAACTACCTCAAATTTGTGATAACTCTCCTAAAGAAACAAAAACCACCTCAAATGTGTGATGTCTCCTAAAGAAACAAAAATGACCTCAAATTCTATATAATTCTCCTTAAGAAATAACAAAAACTTCCTAAAATTCTAGATAATTTTCCTAAAGAAACAAAAACTACCTCAAATTCTAGATAATTCTCCTACAGAAATAACTAAAACAACCTCAAATTTAGCTCTCCTAAAGAAACAAAAACTACCCCAAATTATAGATAACTCCTAAAGAAACAAAAACTACCTCAAAGTCTAGATAATTCTTCTAAAGAGATAAAAACTACCTCAAGTTCTTGATTATTCTGTTAAAGAAATAACAAAATAACTACTGCAAATTCTAGATAAATATGATAAAGAAATAACAGAAACTATCTCAAATTTAAGATAATTCCACCATAGAAACAAAAACTACCTAAAATTCTAAATAAATCTTATAAAAAAGATAAACTACCTAAAATTCTTGATAATTCTTATAAGGAAAATAAATTACCTCAAATTCTAGATAATTCTCCTTATCAAGGTACTCCTGGATGATGGAAGACTTGGTCCCTTTCTCTGGAGCAGTTGCCCTGTGAGAAAGGAGCTCCTGTTCCAACTCTTTAACTTTCATTTCGTGGCTCTGCAGCTGTTCTTTCTGAGGGACAAAGTAAAATATTAATACTCTTATCCTGGATATTTTCTTCTTCACGTCAACTGGTTGTAAACTCCAACAGAAAGTTCTGGTTCTTTATCCACTTCTAGATTTCAGTTTTGTTCCAGAGCTCTAGTCCTGTTGGCAGATCTATTTTACAAATCTTTATTATTTGTTTGCAGACTGTTGGTTCCTCACCTCTCAGGCAGAGGTTCGCCAAAGCAGTATTTCCAATTCTTCTTCTTCGCGTTCACCAGCTGTAAACTCTAGCGGAAAGTTCTGGTTGCTTGTCCACTTCTGGACTGCAGTCCTGTTCCAGAACCTGAGTGTGCATCCGTTTTACAGATCTGACTCATTTGTATGCAGACTGCGGGTTCCTCACCTCTCAGGCAGACGCACTCCAACTTCAAAGGAAGCTCCCAATCAGTCGACTCTTACGAGATGCTTTTCGGTAGACAGTGGGTCTATTCTTGTTTTCCCTATAATAGGGCCCCGGAACCCACATGGGTAATTTCCAATTCAAAGTCAAGAAAAACAAAACTGGACTACGTTCAACCTGCTGCAAACAGTTCTGGTTATAAGCATGTTATGGTTTCTTTGGGCCAAATGTATTGGCTACGATGTGCTATTTGCACCAAGTTTAACTCTCTGAGGCCCGAGCAATGCTGTGTGTGTTGACTCAGAAGTTCCAATTTGCCCAAACAACACTATTTGCGTCGATCATGTGTCCCATATATACTGATGCGCAGACGGCTTCATATTCGTTTCTAATGCTTGAAACTACCATTAGAGTATTCAGGGAAGGTTACTCTAACATTTTTCTTTGTAAACAAGTCTATGTTTCCACACATGTGGGAGCAAACTTATCCAATTCATTGTCAGCGTGATTTTCAGACAATGCAATTTCTGATTTTGTGCTGAAGTGGCCATAATTAAAAATGTCCTAACACAAACACAGGCCGAAAAATGCACCTTTCTGTGGCTGAAGCTCTGAAACTGTTTTAGTCAGACGTTTTTTTAATAATGAAACATAGAATTTGTTTAGAAAGTGATTAGGACGTTAAATTTACACCAGCGGCAGCTGAGCAGTCAGCTGTTCGTTCTGATGAGATAAATGCAAGAGGACCTATTTCATTTATGAAGGATGTGATATCACCCACATTTGCATCAAAAGGAATGTTTTAGACAGTATCATACTCACACAATGACTAAGCTGCATTGAAATCACTGCAGCTACAGTCTGTATTTAGCTAAGAGTTAATATTTTGTGTGTTTAGGACTCCAATTTTCTGCCATTTTTTTCTCTGAAATGTTATTCAGCACTCTATGAGAACCTGGAGCCGCTGAGTGATAAACTAACCCAGAAAAACATCATAACTTTTAAATTTGTTAGGAAACTGAACAAACTTTAAAGTGTTATTCTTAAATTTGGATATGCTATGCTCTTATGGCTGCAAAACCATGGTAGGTGAAGATTTTTTGGGTATAACTTTGTCTTTTTAAACATAGTACCTGCTGAATTCTGTTATTCCTACTAACTATAACAGTATGAAACAAACACATACCTGATTCAAAGTGTACATTTGCTCTTTAAAGAAAATATTAACTTTTATAGGAATTAGAAACATATTACATTCTCAAGCCCCTTTATTTATTTAACACCACCCCCTCTGCCATTTTTGTGAAAGGAAATTAATGTGAGCCAAGCCTGTCAAAATTCATGGGCCTGAAAGAGTTAATGTCTTTATTAGTTTTGCACCAAGATGAATAGCTAAATGTCCCTTATTTGTTTGTTCTAGTGTTTATCTCTGCATGTGTGGGTTCCTTTTTTAGGGGGGGGGGGGGGGTCCCTTGGTTCACGTGGGTTTCTTCTCTGCCTGACCACCTAATCTGGGCTGAGCTTGAGTTTTAGAGATCTAAACAGTTAATGCATTGGAGCTTCGAAGCTTCAGCAGATAAACCAACCAACCGTAAAGAACATGCTGTGAACTGTAATAAATATGAGGTGACCACTAGAAAGATAGCAGACCACTAGAAAGATAGCAGACCACTAGAAAGATAGCAGACCACTAGAAAGATAGCAGACCACTAGAAAGATAGCAGGCAAGAGGAAGACAACATGAGAAGATTCTTGACAGTCTTCTGTCATGGCATGGAGGGGTGCCAGCACAGAAATTGATACATGCAGTTGAAGATCACAAATTGTATAGAGGCATGATCACCCACGCTTATCTGCAAGGCACTTGATGATGATGATGATGAATTGTAATGTTACAAAATTAACAAATTTTTCATGTTTTTAATTGTTACCAACTGATTAATAGCCCTCTCCTATTTTGGAAAAAAGGAAAAGACCTACTACTCCTCATAGGACGCAACTAATCAGGGGTGTTTCCTTCGAAGTCGGAGTGCATCTGCCTGAGAGGTAAGGAACCAACAGTCTGCACACAAATAAGCCAGATCTGTAAAATGGATATGCATGCAAAACTGAAGTTTTGGGTCAAGATCAAAGTCAAGGAGTGGATGAAGAAATACAACTTTTTTTCCTGTAGTCTGCAGACAGACATGCTAGCTGGAGCAGGGAGGTAACAACTGAAGCAGGAGGAAACAACTGAAGCAGGAGGAAACAACTGAAGCAGGGAGGTAACAACTGAAGCAGGGAGGTAACAACTGAAGCAGGGAGGTAACAACTGAAGCAGGGAGGTAACAACTGAAGCAGAGAGGTAACAATGCACAACACTTACTAAATTTAACCGGGTGTGAGACGAGGGCAGCAGCTGCCTCTGAAACTTGGTCCTTGAACCCACGGCACCCGGCAAAACAGGCGCAGATAGCGAAGCTGCCACCAAGTTGATTGTATCAATCCATTCCTGGAGCTCTTTACTATCCCTGTTTCAAAAGCAAACAATCATAAGGAATAACAGTAATAAAGAAACAAAAACAATAAGGAATAACAAACATAAGGAATAAGTAAATCATCTTCTCTTTCTCCAGTTACCTCAGCAAAAATGTTTTGCGATCGCCTCCTTGATTTATACCAGGGCTATTCAGCTGAGATTACTCAGGAGCCAAAATGAAGATAATGGGGACTGACGCGAACGAGAGGCCCAAGCCTCGACCAGAAAGCTCGCTAATACAAAACAATTGGCAATGATCCGTGGGCCACTTGTGAGGCCTCTGCGGACTGCACCCATCCCGCCAGTTCAATGACCCTGACCTACATTGTCAGATAAGTGCTTTTCATAAAACTGACCTTTTTTCTTTCATTTGTTCACCGGCAGAAAGTTCTGCTTGTTCGTCCCTGTGGACTTTGTGCCAGAGCCTGAGTTTAAATGTACATTCGTTTTACTGGCTTATTTGTGAGCAGTTGATTGTTACTTTCTACTCAGGAAGATACACTCCATGATTGTTCCTTGCCACTCAGGAAGATGCACTCCGTGATTGTTCCTTGCCACTCAGGAAGATGCACTCCGTGATTGTTCCTTGCCACTCAGGAAGATAAACTCCGTGATTGTTCCTTGCCACTCAGGAAGATAAACTCCGTGATTGTTCCTTGCCACTCAGGAAGATAAACTCCGTGATTGTTACTTGCCACTCAAGAAGATAAACTCCGTGATTGTTACTTGCCACTCAGGAAGATAAACTCCGTGATTGTTACTTGCCACTCAGGCAGATACACTCCGTGATTGTTCCTTGCCACTCAGGCAGATACACTCCGTGATTGTTCCTTGCCACTCAGGCAGATAAACTCCGTGATTGTTCCTTGCCACTCAGGCAGATAAACTCCGTGACTGTTCCTTGCCACTCAGGAAGATAAACTCCGTGACTGTTCCTTGCCACTCAGGAAGATAAACTCTGTGACTGTTCCTTGCCACTCAGGCAGATAAACTCCATGACTGTTCCTTGCCACTCAGGCAGATACACTCCGTGACTGTTACTTGCCACTCAGGAAGATAACTCCGTGACTGTTCCTTGCCACTCAGGAAGATGCACTGCGTGATTGTTCCTTGCCACTCAGAAAGATAAACTCTGTGACTGTTCCTTGCCACTCAGGAAGATAAACTCCGTAATTGTTCCTTGCCACTCAGGAAGATAAACTCCATGACTGTTCCTTGCCACTCAGGCAGATACACTCCGTGACTGTTACTTGCCACTCAGGAAGATAACTCCGTGACTGTTCCTTGCCACTCAGGAAGATGCACTGCGTGATTGTTCCTTGCCACTCAGTGATTGTTCCTTGCCACTCAGGAAGATAAACTCTGTGATTGTTCCTTGCCGCTCAGGCAGATACACTCTGTGATTGTTCCTTGCCATGTAGGAAGATAAACTCCGTAATTGTTCCTTGCCACTCAGGCAGATACACTCCGTAATTGTTCCTTGCCACTCAGGAAGATGCACTCCGTAATTGTTCCTTGCCACTCAGGAAGATGCACTCCGTGATTGTTACTTGCCACTCAGGCAGATACACTCCTTAATTGTTCCTTGCCACTCAGGAAGATGCACTCCGTAATTGTTCCTTGCCACTCAGGCAGATACACTCCGTAATTGTTCCTTGCCACTCAGGAAGATAAACTCCGTAATTGTTCCTTGCCACTCAGGCAGATACACTCCGTAATTGTTCCTTGCCACTCAGGAAGATGCACTCCGTAATTGTTCCTTGCCACTCAGAAAGATGCACTCCGTGATTGTTACTCGCCACTCAGACAGATACACTCCGTGATTGTTACTTGCCACTCAGGAAGATAAACTCTGTGATAGTTCCTTGCCACTCAGGCAGATACACTCCGTAATTGTTTCTTGCCATTCAGGAAGATACACTCCGTAATTGTTCCTTGCCACTCAGGAAGATAAACTCAGTGATTGTTCCTTGCCATTCAGGAAGATACACTCTGTAATTGTTCCTTGCCACTCAGGAAGATAAACTCAGTGATTATTCCTTGTCACTCAGGAATATTAACTCCGCAATTGTTCCTTGCCACTCAGGAAGATACACTCCGTAATTGTTCCTTGCCACTCAGCAAGATAAACTCCGTAATTGTTCCTTGCCACTCAGGAAGATACACTCCGTATTTGTTCCTTGCCACTCAGGAAGATAAACTCCGTGATTGTTCATTGCCACTCAGGAAGATACACTCCGTAATTGTTCCTTGCCACTCAGCAAGATAAAACTCCGTAATTGTTCCTTGCCACTCAGCAAGATAAACTCTGTAATTGTTCCTTGCCACTCAGGAAGATACACTCCGTAATTGTTCCTTGCCACTCAGGAAGATAAACTCCGTAATTGTTCCTTGCCACTCAGGCAGATACACTCCGTAATTGTTCCTTGCCACTCAGGAAGATGCACTCCGTAATTGTTCCTTGCCACTCAGGAAGATGCACTCCGTGATTGTTCCTTGCCACTCAGGCAGATAAACTCCGTGACTGTTCCTTGCCACTCAGGAAGATAAACTCCTAATTGTTCCCTGCCACTCAGGAAGATACACTCCGTAATTGTTCCTTGCCACTCAGGAAGATAAACTCCGTAATTGTTCCTTGCCACTCAGGCAGATACACTCCGTAATTGTTCCTTGCCACTCAGGCAGATGCACTCCGTGATCGTTCCTTGCCACTCAGGAAGATAAACTCCGTAATTGTTCCTTGCCACTCAGGAAGATACACTCTGTAATTGTTCCTTGCCACTCAGGAAGATAAACTCAGTGATTGTTCCTTGCCACTCAGGAAGATTAACTCCGTAATTGTTCCTTGCCACTCAGGAAGATACACTCCGTAATTGCTCTTTGCCACTCAGCAAGATAAACTCCGTAATTGTTCCTTGCCACTCAGGAAGATACACTCCGTAATTGTTCCTTGCCACTCAGGAAGATGCACTCCGTAATTGTTCCTTGCCACTCAGGAAGATGCACTCCGTGATTGTTACTTGCCACTCAGGCAGATACACTCCGTGATTGTTCCTTGCCATGTAGGAAGATAAACTCCGTAATTGTTCCTTGCCATGTAGGAAGATAAACTCCGTAATTGTTCCTTGCCACTCAGGAAGATGCACTCCGTGATTGTTACTTGCCACTCAGGCAGATACACTCCGTGATTGTTACTTGCCACTCAGGCAGATGCACTCTGTGATTGTTCCTTGCCATGTAGGAAGATAAACTCCGTAATTGTTCCTTGCCACTCAGGAAGATAAACTCCTTGATTGTTCCTTGCCACTCAGGAAGATGCACTCCGTGACTGTTCCTTGCCACTCAGGAAGATACACTCCGTAATTGTTCCTTGCCACTCAGGAAGATAAACTCCGTAATTGTTCCTTGCCACTCAGGAAGATACACTCCGTGATTGTTCCTTGCCATTCAGGCAGATACACTCCGTGATTGTTCCTTGCCACTCAGGCAGATACACTCCGTGATTGTTCCTTGCCACTCAGGAAGATAAACTTCGTGACTGTTCCTTGCCACTCAGGAAGATACACTCCGTGATTGTTCCTTGCCACTCAGGCAGATACACTCCGTGATTGTTCCTTGCCACTCAGGAAGATGCACTCTGTGATTGTTCCTTGCCACTCAGGCAGATACACTCCGTGATTGTTCCTTGCCACTGAGGCAGATACACTCCGTGATTGTTCCTTGCCACTCAGGCAGATAAACTCCGTAATTGTTACTTGCCACTTAGGCAGATACACTCTGTGATTGTTCCTTGCCACTCAGGCAGATACACTTCGTGATTGTTCCTTGCCACTCAAGCAGATACACTCCGTAACTGTTCCTTGTTACTCAGGCAGATGCACTTCGACTTTGGAGGAAGTCCCTATTTGCACAGCTATGCTGCAAAGAGGCACAACATAATTACACTATTAAGATGAACAATGAAAAAGAAAAAAACTGTTTTTATGAATATCTGAGACAAGAGTATGCCATAAGTTTGAAAAAAAAAATAACAGATGCTTAATCTAGCTCCTGGCATCTTTCACCTCATGACAATTCCACAATAGGCATGAGAATAGAAGAAGATGACGAAGAAAAAAAAGTTGGAAAAAAAAAAGGAAGCAACAACAGATAAAGAATAAAAAGAAGAATTAGAGGAGGAAGAAAAGGAGGATGAGAAACAGGGACCAGAACAAAAGAAGAAAAAAAAAGTAAGAAGAGGACAAGGAAGAAGAAAAGGAAGCTGCAGCAGAACAGTAATAAAAATTTTAATAAGCAGAGAAGGCAAACAAGAAGAAGCATCGGAAAAGAAGACATGAGACAAAATATATCAACCACCTACCCTGTTTGGAAGAGAAATTCTGCACCATCTGCCGTCTGCAGCCGAAACACGTGCTGCTTTTTAGTGTAATCCGTGGCTTTGGTTGCCAAGGCATGATGAATACGAATTGCATTGTGGGCACTCTCAACAAAGTGTCCCCTCTTTAACTGATGCTCATCCTTATACTGGTAGAGAATCATGTCTCGGAGTACAGCATACATCATCTTCCATCCTCTCTTGCCAAACGGAGCTGAAGAATAAATTAACAAAACTCATTCAATGATACTAAAAGATTCTCTGTGTGAGTTCTGGGACTCCACTGTGGGGGAGAACAAGAATAGACTCACTGACTCCCCGTGTGAGTTCTGGGACTCCATTGTGGGGAAAAACAAGAATATACCCACTGCCTCCCCGTGTGAGTTTTGGGACCCATTTTTGGGGAGAACAAGAATAGATCCACTGCCTGCCCATGTGAGTTCTGGTACCCCATTGTAGGGGAGAACAAGAACAGACCCACTGACTCCCTGTGTGAGTTCTGGGACCCCATTGTAGGGGAGAACAAGAACAGACCCACTGACTCCCTGTGTGAGTTCTGGGACTCCATTGTAGGGGAGAACAAGAATAGACCCACTGACTCCCCGTGTGAGTTCTGGGACCCCATTGTGGGGGAGAACAAGAATAGACTCACTGACTCCCCGTGTGAGTTCTGGGACTCCATTGTGGGGAAGAACAAGAATATACCCACTGCCTCCCCGTGTGAGTTCTGGGACCCATTTTGGCGGAGAACAAGAATAGATCCACTGCCTTCCCCTGTGAGTTCTGGGACCCCATTGTAGGGGAGAACAAGAACAGACCCACTGACTCCCTGTGTGAGTTCTGGTACCCCATTGTAGGGGAGAACAAGAATAGACCCACTGACTCCCTGTGTGAGTTCTGGTACCCCATTGTAGGGGAGAACAAGAATAGACCCACTGACTCCCTGTGTGAGTTCTGGGACCCCATTGTAGGGGAGAACAAGAACAGACCCACTGACTCCCTGTGTGAGTTCTGGGACCCCATTGTGGGGAGAACAAGAATAGACCCACTGCCTCCCTATGTGAGTTCTGGGAACCCATTGTGGGGGAGAACAATAACAGACCCACTGACTCCCTGTGTGAGTTCAGAAGCCCCACTGTGGGAAAAACACTGCCTCCCCCAACAAGCATGTTGTGAGAGTCGACTAATTGGGGGTTTCCTTTGAAGTCAGAGTGCATCTGCTTCAGAAGCAAGGAACCAACAGTCTGCCTACAAATAAGTAAGATCTGCTAAATGGATGTGCATGCAACACTCAGGTTTTAGAACAAGATGAAAGTCCAGAAGTGGATGAACAACCAGAACTTTCTGCCACAGTCTACTGCTGGTGAATGTAAAAAAAAAAAAAAAAAATATCTAAATGAATGGAAAACAAAAAGTTTACATGTCTGCTGCTTAAAGATAATACTCATCAGAGTATCGGATTAAACGAGAGAGCCTTGCCACAAGCATGCTCTCTAAATAAAAAATGTAAACAGATCCCCCTACTGAATGTCCCTAGGCATGTCTGTGGTTAATGTCATATGAAACTATAGTGGACATGGAAGTCCACTACAATAAAAGTTTAACATGCATAAGCAAAGCACTCATTTTGTGCAGGTAATCAACATCCCAGTTCTGTGGCCAACTCCTGCTGGCTTCCAAAGGCGCAGCCCGTGAAGTGTAATGATATATCTTTAGATATTTTGAAAAAAAAAATGTTTTAAAATGTAGGTAAATAAATATTTTAAAACTGTATTAGTGACTAGTGTAGGAACAAAAATACACACAAACTTTAAGGATTTTCTATGTGGAGACTTTTCATGGATATTAAAAAAATTTCTTTTTTAGCATTCCCGGGGTGAAAGGGCTAAGGTGCACAAAACAGTAAGGCGGTCACAAAATGATTAAATAAATACTTACTTTTTCTTCTATCAGAATCGACACAGCATTTCCGCATGACATATCCTTTCTTGTATTCTGTGGTTTTATTTGGGTCCGGAATCTGTACACACGAGATACAAACATCACATAAGCAATCAGGATGTCTTTAACACACGGCACAAGTTCAAGAATGGCACAGAAATAAGAGAAAGGCTTGGGGAAGTGCTGCAATAATTAGAAGACTAAGAAGATGGTGTTATGTACGGGGTGTATTCTGAGGAGAGAGAAGCAGCTTCAAAGTGGTCAGAAAGCTGGGGTCTTGTCCGAGAGACTACAGTTCGAATTCTGGGTCAGGTGATGGAAGTTTTTCTGTTGAGGGACAAATTAAACATTGCAAATCTGCCAAGTTCGTGCTCTCTACATTAGCTATGTGACCCTCAATCCTCAGACTGAAGATCCCCCCATCCTTTACCGCCCCAAAACATGGTACTCGCGCATGACAGCCTAGAGTTCTAGCCACTCCTATGGTCCCGCCCCCCCCTCTCTTTTACTTCTTCTTCTTGGCGTTCAACCATCGCAAGCCCAGGCAGAAAGTTCTGGCTTTTTGTCCACTCCTGGACTACGGTCTTAATCCAGAACTTGAGTAGTTTTGTTTGCACATCTACTTTACAGATCTGGCTTATTTGTATGCAGACAGACTGCTGTTTTCTTGCCTTTTAGGCAGATGCACTTCGACCAAAGGAAACATCTGTAAACAGTCGCCACCTACGACATGCTGGTCTGGGGGAGGGGGGGGGCGGGACAGTGGATCCATTCTTTGTTTCCCAAAAAAGCAGCCCCGGAACCCACTCAGGGATTTCTCTGTTCAAAGACAGCAACATAAGAATCAAATCACACCAGATCAAATTTGTCAGATATGGCCGCTGCATTAGAGGATGAAGCAGGAAGAGGTCAGACTGATGTGCTAAGATGCTGATTCAGACAACAAGTAACCAAACCATACTTTCAAACTTTCCAGAGGACTAACGGTAAAAAACAAAACAAAACACATAAGGCAAACAGAACGTCATATTTTTCACTGTGCGGTTCGGGGCCTCATTCCAGGGAAAAGATCAAAGCCCCACTGCCCCCCCCCCTCCCCAACCATAACAAGCATGTCCTACAAGGCAACTAATCATGAGAGTTGCCCTCAAACTGGGAGTGCATCTGCCTGAGAGGCAAGGAACCAACAGTCTGCATTCAAATAGGCCAGATCTGTAAAACGTATGTGCAGACAAAACTCAAATTCTGGAATAAAACCAAAGACCAGAAAAGGACAAACAACCAGAACTTTCTGTCAGAGTTTACAGCTGGTAAACACTAAGAAGACATTATATCCCCCCATTTACACAGGTGTCTCTCACCTCCAGGAATGGATTACTGCCCAATGATGAGGGAATAGTCATCTGCCGCTGTCCGCTTTGGTCCACTAATTGGCTGCCTTCTTTTTCAGGTGATGCTTCATCCCTGAATGAAAGATTGAAATAACGACTGTAGGTACAGACTAAATTAATGACTGAGCTATATAAAGCCATACTTTAATGGGTACAAGCAATGAATGAATTAAGGATTAGGATACACAGTGAAAAGCAATTTTTCTTTTGAAAATACTGACAAAGAAGCATTAGATGGTGATGTGGTCAAAAACATACTGGCGGCTTTTACTTTCCAGGAAGTTTCCTATTTTAGGCTGGGTTGACCTGAGAGGCAACAAGGTCATTCAACTATAAAAAATAATCTATTTCAAAAACAACAAAGTATACAACTTTTAAACTGACATTTAATTTTGTGGCCCGGACTAAAAGGGGTACCAGGTAAGGTTCTGGAAGGTAAAGTCGGCTGACATTATGTTGCCCCCATCTCCAACTGAGTATCAACTGGTCTATGAATATATGATGTCTGATGTGCCAGGGTATGAAGGTTCTTTTTTTTTTTACTCTCGATTTTTACCTGTCCGCTATCCCGAACTGAAAATACTGTACACGTACTGCAACAGAAACTGAACTTAGTCCTGTTGCCCTGAAAAGCCACAAAACCGACTCCAAACATTTTCTTCTAATCCATCCTGTCTCTATCTTCTTAAGCAAGCTCATGGAATCAGCTAGAAAGCACACACGAGAAACATGCTGTGTCTCTGGCCATATCATTGCTTTTGTTAACAGATCCCCTGCCCCTTAACTCTTTTGAGTCCCAAGAAACGCATCATACGTTCATAGGTTCCTACCTAGAAGCCCAATGAATGCATGATGTGCCGATTTTATTACTTTCCTTACTACCCTCTGGGCCTGTGATGCTAAACCCCCTGGGACTCAAAGAGTTAACAAGCATGTCAAAAAAAGTGACCAATCAGGACCAGTCAAGCTATAAACCACAACACCACATGCCAACCACCCGGTTAAGGATGAATGCAGAAGAAGAAGAAAAAGCAGATAACTTACACTGCCCACTCAAGCGGCTCATTTTTAATCGACTGGTATATCGCCTTCAACACCTCCTTGGAGAAATCCTCCCCATCATTGAGATCGGCAAGATTGTCAATAAATTCCTGGCATGTCATCCTCCTGCCAACATTCTGAGAAGAAGAAATCAATTTAGAGCAGTCGAAGAAGTGACGAAACAAATAGAATTAACACTCATAAAGATTATAATTACTTCTATACATACTGTTTGTCAATCAGCTATTCTGACTCCCTGTGTGGTTTCCAGAGTTGAATATTGGAGAAAAGAAGAATCGACCCACCGCCTCTCTAACAAGCATGTCGTAAAAGGTTAATTAATTATTTTTCCTTTAAAGTCGGAGTGCGTCTGCCTAAGAACCAATGATCTGCAAACAAGTAAGCCATATCTGCATGCAAAACTCAAGTCTGGAACAAAACTGAAGTCCAGAACAGGACAAACAACTAGGACTTTCCGCCAGAGTTGACAGCTGGTGAATGCAAACAAAAAGAACAAGAGGTATTCTGACTGTGCTACAGGGATTCATAAGGTAGGTGAGGAATACCTATGTACCTGCATGTCTAAATGAATATTAGGGGATGAGTTCAAGGCAAGTGAAGAAATCAGAGGAACGTATCTATCTGGTTGTTCATCCACCTCTGGACTTTGGCCTTGCTCCAGAACGTGAGTTCTGCATGCTCACCTATTTGACAGATCTTATTTGTATGCAGACTGCTGGTTCCTTAACTTTAATGCAGATACACTCCAATTTAGAAAGTCAGGTTAGTTGCGTATCCTTTTACAGGACGTTGCAGAACCAACCTCAACAGTCCCTGGCTGTTGTGTGGTTTTTCTAGGCAAATTTACATCCAGTAGTTTGCCATTGCTTTCTGGACGGTCGGCTTTCTTGATACCACTGTCGAAACCAACACAAGGCGCATGGCCCACAACTGGAATCGAACGGCATAAAAAGGATCCTTTTATTTTTACCTCACTGAATCACAGCACTCAGGACACTCCCATAAGCGCTCTGTCCCCCATCTTCAGCAGCAAGCGAAGAGTTCCAGTTCCGATGGTACCAGTAACTGTCTGATTGTACATCTGTCTAATCTTTCCCTTGTGTGTTGAGCATCGATCAGATCGCCTGACATGTCCTCGCAGTGCCATTTTCCTCAGACCGTAATGATCTATTTGTGCCTCTGCACTGGTCACTTGCTCCAAAAGGGCCCTCAAAAAATCTAGCTTACCATACATAAATTCAACATCAAGCGGTGCAGAACCGGCCAGTCTATCTACCTGCTCATTTCCCAACAAACTAGTATGACCTGGAGAGAATATTCAAAGGATGCTAACTACCTGGGACCTCTGAAGCAATGATTGCCATTCTGCGCGAAGCATGCCTGTCCCCACTTTTCTCAAAATACTCTGTGAGTCAGTTACAATTACAACATACATGTACAGCTGATTCTCAAGCTAGCTGAAGGCAGCACTGACTGCCTCCACCTCTACTGTCAAACTAGATGTTGTGATATCATACACCAGGCTTTGCTGCACTAAGTGGCGTCCATTCCTTTTTGCTATGAACCCCCAGCCACTCTATCTCTCAAGACATAACATAATCCTTGACCCATTAGGGTCCTGGAGGTGTATCGATGGAAAAAAAACCCGCCATCTTTCTCTGTCTTCGGCTTGATGAATAAGTGTATGATGGCTTAATCCTGTCCATTTCTTGATGCTGTCATTCCAGATTCTTCTTTGACTCCCCCCCCCCTCCCCACCCCAAGTGTTCACTGAAGCATAGTCTTTGCAGTCGAATCTCAACACAGAACCATCTGTACAGATAATCACATCACCTGGGTGGGAACTGTCATGAGTCATTTGTTGAACTTCTAATTCTGCAGCACCAGCCGGCCAGTCCCGGCACTCATGACCTTATGTGAATACAACCCTACACAAGTCTGATTCTTGCTTGGACACTCTGACCCACTCCTCTCCTCACTGACCCACTCCTCTCCTCACTGACCCACTCCTCTCCTCACTGACCCACTCCTCTCCTCACTGACCCACTCCTCTCCTCACTGACCCACTCCTCTCCTCACTGACCCACTCCTCTCCTCACTGACCCACTCCTCTCCTCACTGACCCACTCCTCTCCTCACTGACCCACTCCTCTCCTCTCCCAAATGTATCAAGCCCATACACATCTCTCAGAGAAAAGACTGCATCAGATTTCAGCACAGATTCTAAAGATTCCACCCATTCTACCTTATTTAAAAGTTTTACCAGTTTCCCATTTTGGGAAAAGGGGGGGGGGGGGGGGGGGATATGAAAAGACCACCAGCCCCCCATTTTGGGAAAAGGGGGGGGGGGATATGAAAAGACCACCAGCCCCCCATTTTGGGAAAAAGGGGGGGGGGATATGAAAAAAGACCACCAGCCCCCCATTTTGGGAAAAGGGAGGGGGGGGGGATATGAAAAGACCACCAGCCCCCCCCCCCCCCCCTTTTGGGAAAAGGGGGGGGGGGGAATATGAAAAGACCACCAGCCCCCCATTTTGGGAAAGGGGGGGGGGATATGAAAAGACCACCAGCCCCCCCATTTTGGGAAAGGGGGGGGGATATGAAAAGACCACCAGCCCCCCCATTTTGGGAAAAGGGGGGGGGGGGATATGAAAAGACCACCAGCCCCCCATTTTGGGAAAAAGGGGGGGGGGGATATGAAAAGACCACCAGCCCCCCATTTTGGGAAAAAGGGGGGGGGGGATATGAAAAGACCACCAGCCCCCCATTTTGGGAAAAGGGGGGGGGGGGATATGAAAAGACCACCAGCCCCCATTTTGGGAAAAAGGGGGGGGGACATGAAAAGACCACCAGCCCCGCATTTTGGGGAAAAGGGGGGGGGGGAACATGAAAAGACCACCAGCCCCCCCATTTTGGGAAAAAGGGGGGGGGGATATGAAAAGACCACCAGCCCCCCATTTTGGGAAAAGGGGGGGGGGGGGACATGAAAAGACCACCAGCCCCCCATTTTGGGAAAAGGGGGGGGGGACATGAAAAGACCACCAGCCCCTCAACAAGCATGTTGTAAAAGGCGACTAATTAAAGACTTGCTAACATCACAATCCAGAAATAAGAGCAGGCAGTAAAAGCATGGGATTGTAGAAGTGTAGTTAGAATAAATCAGGGAACATCTCATCCTTTCACAGTGACATCTGGAGTAAGAAAGGGGTGTGTCTTATCACCACTGCTGTTTATCACCTACATCGACAGTATATGCAAGAATGCCAAGCCCATGAATGAAGATCTTAGTAAGATCAACGAATTACTCTTTGCAGATGACCAGGCCTTGATAGCAGATACAGCCATGAAATTGCAACAACATCTAACATCCATGAATGAAGAATGTAAAACAAATAATATGAGAATCAACACTGAAAAGACAGAAGTAATGTCAATAGGAAAAAAGAAGACAGATCTAAACATAACAATAGAATACAAAGGCATTAAACAGGCATCTGAGTTTAAATATCTGGGAACTACATTTACCGAAGATGGGAAATTGGATAAAGAAATTGACATTAGATGCAGCAAAGCAAACCAAGTATTGGGACAGCTAGCCCCCCTCTTACAGCATAAGACAATCCCAATCAGCACAAAGAGACATCTTATTCAAACCATATTTATTCCAACTCTGTGCTACCAGTGCCAGACATGGTCACTCACAACAAACCATAAAAGAAAATTAGTAACCATGAAAATGAGATGTCTGAGAAGGGCTGTAGGAGTGACCATAAGAGATAAGATCAGAAATGAGATCATAAGAGAACAAGTCGGCACAGAACCAATTCTGGATTACATACAAAGACAGCAAGTGAAATGGTTTGCCCACTTAGAGAGAATGCCTTGTGACACCATACCATACAAAGCATACATGGGAAGAGAAGAAGGACGTAGAGCACGGGGTAGACCAAGAACAAGATGGAAGGATAACATCAGAGAAACTCTACAACAGTACGATGTGCCTATGGTCCAGGCAGCCAGAAGAGCTAGAAACAGAACCTTATATCTCCCTCGACACCCACAGCGGTAAAAGAGGAAGCGAAGAAGAAGAAGAAGAAGTAAAAGCATATGGCAGGTGTTAAAGGCTACAAAGCCAACAGTCGCCACCAGAAATGCAGTTTATTGTTGAAGGAAATAGTCTGGCATGATATGTGTAGACATCACAGCCAGGCTGTGAACCACAATACAATATGCCAACTGCCCTTTCAAGTGCAAATACAGGAGAGGTCAGCCTGTCCAACTTCAGCATAAATTTGCATAAGGTTTGCCACCTCTAGAAAGATTCCACCCAATTCAACCGACCCGAACAGGTTCACACACAATTAGACAACCTTTTCCCCACACTTAACATTACATAGTACACAACTACCAACGCAGGTGCTACATGTGAAAGAATATGATGTGAAAACAAGAGGTCACCCCAGGAGAAGTTGGACTGATGACATTAAAGACCTTCTACATCAACAGGAAATGACAGCAGCCATAGCTGAATATAAAGCAATGGATCAGAAACTGTTTTCCCACGGCATTTAATGGCAAAAGTGGAAACTGATGATGATGATGATGACGATGATGATGACGACGATGACGATGATGATGATGCCTGGTATAAAAGTGCTGACAAGTGAAAACTTACGGGAGAATGCAGGTCAGAGTTGAGCAGCATTATTGCACACGTCAGAGTATGGCAGGCGTCTGAAATGTTGATTGAAATGACAATAACAACAACAATTATAGTAGATGCATTGTGTGCATGACAGAATTTGCTTTAATCCAGTTACGATGAAATAAAGTAGTTTTATTTAACTTCAATGTAGTAAACTGGCAGAATTTCCTCGACTGATCATTGCCACCATCATGTAGCAGGTTCTTTGTAGGAGATACAATGGAAAGCCACTAAGTTATATGCATCCCCATGTAGGGAAGGCCGAACAGCTAGCCGCCTGCCGATAGCATCGCACAAAGCACAAACTCCGTAGCTCTGGGATCTCCGTAATAATTGCACCAGTGAACTCAGTGACGCAGCCGTAATGTGCTATAGGAAGGCAGTGGAACCACAGTCTAAGTCAATGGTGAGGGTGGCTGGCAAGACTCACTCACATGACAAGAATCTCCCACAGTAAGTACATGAGGTCTCATGACTACTGTTGCCATCACATGCATTTCATGTTTCTTCTCAGACGCTCAACTCTGTCTTCAATCTGTTGCTTCTTCCTCCTTATTCCCTTCCTAATTTCTCCCCTTCATGCAATGTAATCTTCTTCCTCACATTTAACCCGCTGCAAGCTCCGGTGGAAAGTTCTGGTTGTTCATCCACCTCCAGCTTCTTGTTCCAGAACCTAAGTGATGCGTGTACATCGGTTTTACAGATCTGGCTATTTGATTGCAGACTGTTGGTTCCTTGTCTTCCTGGTAGATACACTCCGACTTTAAAGGAACACAATGTAATCAATGACATACTGTTTTCATAAATCCACTATTACTTATATCTTCCATGTCCTGCTTACACATATCCTTAAACTGTGGCACATGCAGGACCCCAACATCTATCAACCTGTAATGCACCATATAGGATGTCCTTGGAGATTGAACAAATCAAGAGCTGCATCACTGTACTCAAGACATCCCCACACTGCTCCATCCCCTGCTTCAGTAGCCAATGAAGAGTCGACATGCCAACAGTACCAGCTGCAACCTGAATATCTGTTTCCCCCTATACCCTTCAACTCAACTCCCCCCCCCCCCCCATTGAGTTATGAGTTTGTCAATGTAAGGATTCTTTTTCTTTTCCACTGCACTGTTTATTTGATCCAACAGAACCTTCCCCATGTCCCCTTCAAGAAAAAGTAGCTCACCACGCAGAGTTGCAGCAGAAGCCAATTTATCAGCCTGCTTATTATACCCACAGTATGCCTGCTCATTATCCCCACATTATGCCTGCTTATTATACCACCTCATTATACCTGCTCATTAGACCCACATTATACCTGCTTATTATACCACCTCATTATACCTGCTCATTAGACCCACATTATACCTGCTTATTAAACCCACATTATATACCTGTTCATTTTACCTGCTCATTATACCCGCATACCTGAACTATCTTTCATGTGTGTCCTAACCATGTTGAACCTTTGAAGACCGGAGTCCCGAGAACATTGTTGTGATTGCTGTTCCCAAAAACTCAATGTTCATAATCTTGCCTTGACACCTAATGCCAAGAATAAAAACTGTAGCAAATAGTATTCAAAAATAACAGCACATGACTTACCCTCTGAGTTGAATGATCCCTCATTGCATTCCATAAATCTGTGGGAGAAGTGAGCCAGCACCCGCTCTCTCTCCTGGGTTTCTCCGTAAAGAGAAAATCTGAGCAGAAATTTCCGCAGAGCTTGGTCTAGAGTGTCACCGTGGAAGTCAAAAAACTTCAGATATTCCTCCGCTACCAGGTTACTGAAGTCATTTCTGCAACAAGTAGGACTGAATTTCAGCCTTTCCATTCCGTGGACTAACATAAACACTCTCCTTTTATAACAGTGTTCTTTAACCTTTCTATGTGTTATTTTTAAACTGTTTACCCCATCATGCAGCAGCTACATCATTCAGGCACTTCATTTATACAGAGCAAAGGAGACGCACGTGACAATGTAGCACCAGAAGCAAAAGCCATGTTAGTAATAAAAAAATTAAAAAAACATTGAATGGATGTTACTGCTGCCTATCTCTCAGAAACAATGCTCCAGCCACGTATATATATATGTTTTCTGACCTCCAATCAGAAGGTGCTGCATAGCTCAGAGTTGTAACTTTATTAAAAAAAGGACCCTTTTCCACGCCTTTAGACGTACTGGGCACACAGGGCTAGATCTATATTTTTATAGACTAATCAGCACTTAGTGGGTGATATGGTCAGCATCACGACGGCTGACTTTACTTCCCAGGATCGCACCTGGTACCCACTCAAGGCTGGGTCGACCTAGGAGCCAAGGTAATTTATAAAAGAAAGTCCAGCTTCGTCAGGGCCCGAACCTACGAACTTCCTGTAACTTCATAACTGGATGTAATACATAAAATGCTATCAACTGTTAGGGCGGCTTTGTGGCTTAGGGGTTAGTGAAAACATTTCGCAATCCAATCATCAATGTACAAAGGGATCGATTTCAGCGGCCTGCTATCTAGAAAAAGCCCGTTCTTGTGGCTTTCAGACGATGGTATGAGAATCGCACAGTAGATGAGATTACACCCTCACCACATAATATTCTCAAAGATAACTTCTCTTCTGGAGATGGTACTAATTCATTTACTTCTATCTACATATGAACATCAAGGAAGACTGGCTAATAAACAGCATCTTGTCTCGGAAGCTAAAATATTTTGGTCATATCAAGCGCCATGGCAGACTGGAAACAAGTATTAGCAGAAGGCATGGTACCAGGAAGGAGGGGCAGGGGCTGACCATAACGGAGATGGGCACAGGATATAAGTGACTCTCTGATTATGAAAGTACATGAGGTGGGAGACTAAGTTTCTTTCTGGCAGACTGTTATGAGGACGTTCTGCAAAGGACCTGCTACATGTTGATGATGACACCTGCAAAATTAGTAACAACAGAAATTAGATGTTTGAGAAAGGCTGCAGGAGTAACCAGAAGAGACAAAATCAGAAACAAGGTCATAAGAGAAAAGGTTAGCACAGAACCACAAAGACAACAAATCAAATGATCTGCCAACTTGAAGAGAATGCCTTGGGATGCCATGGCATACAAGGCTTACACAAAAGAGGAGACAGATGCAGAGCACGAGAAATACTAAGAACAAGATAGAAAGATAATATCAGAAATACTCTACAACATCACAATGTGTCTATGGTCGAGGCCACCAGAAGAGCAAGAAGCAGAACCTTAGATTTCTTTTGACATATGAAGCAGTAAAAGAGGAAGTGAAGAAGATCTACATCATTTGTTTTTGTTTTTTTCTCTGTTAGCTAGTCCACAGAAGAAAATTTCTCACTTTTTCCTGTGTAAAAATGTTGAAGAACACTGCTCTGGCACAAACATTCACAATCTTGAACATATATATATTGAAGAACACTGCTCTGGCACAAACATTCACAATCTTGAACATATATATATATTGAAGAACACTGCTCTGGCACAAACATTCACAATCTTGAACATATATATATTGAAGAACACTGCTCTGGCACAAACATTCACTATCTTGAACGTACATATATTCACAACATTTATGGAGTTCATTATCTCCTTTCACCTCTCATTCTTACATTCTCCCATCTACAAACATATAGTCTCTCCTATCCTCCAACATGAACTGACAAACTCTAAATAGGTGTAAGACAACCTCCCGAAGTGGGGTTTCCCCAAGAGAAATTTGGCAAATGTTAAAGCAAACTTCCACTGTCATGTCATTCTCACACACTACTTTCTCTCATCCTTCCTTCCACACACTTTACTGCACAGCTATTCAACTGGTGGCCCTAAGCCCACAGATTACTGACTTTCACTTGAGTATTCAGCATCGACCAGATCCCTTGGTCACTATTTACAGCACCATTCTCCACACGACCAGATCCCTGGTCACTCTTTACAGCACCATTCTCCACACGACCAGATCCTCTGGTCACTCCTAGCAGCACCATTCTCCCCACAAGCAGATCCTCTGGTCACTCCTCGCAGCACCATTCTCCCCACAAGCAGATCCCCTGGTCACTCCTCGCAGCACCAATCTCTCCACAAGCAGATCCCCTGGTCACTCCTCGCAGCACCAATCTCTCCACAACCAGATCCTCTGGTCACTCCACGCAGCACCAATCTCCCCACGACTAGATCCTCTGGTCACTCCTCGCAGCACCAATCTCCCCACGACTAGATCCTCTGGTCACTCCTAGCAGCACCAATCTCCCCACAACCAGATCCTCTGGTCACTCTTCACAGCACCAATCTCCCCACAAACAGATCCTCTGGTCACTCTTCACAGCACCAATCTCCCCACAACCAGATCCTCTGGTCACTCTTCACAGCACCATTCTTCCCACAAGCAGATCCTCTGGTCACTCCTCGCAGCACCAATCTCCCCACGACTAGA